AACAAGAGCGATCACGTCATCCACCTCTGGGATCTGTGCTACCGGCACTTCCCTCCTGTACCCATTACCCGGCGCTTGGCATACCACCGTCAGGAAGAGACTGGTAGCATTGTGTTACGCTTCTGTTACATGGGACAGTACTAGTATACCCTCAGACTTTTCCATAATACAAACACTCGTGATACAGTGGCTCGTTGTTCCAGCATCGACTACTGGTTTATTGTTGTCCACGACAATGACGGTGATGATGTAGTACGTTACTTGCTGTGCGTATCTGATTCGGAGGATTTTTCACATGTATGCAATTGTACTCGGTCATATATATGCGATCATGACGTCTGTAGTGTCGTGACTGTTGTGCAGTAACGAAGGCCATACCAACTTGGTACACGGATGTTTGCACCTAAACGTATGTGCATTTCTCAAGGAAGCTAAATGCCTCGGTGGTTTTCACATCTCGTGTTTTCTTTCACTATTCCGTGTCATTTCTGAGGCAGTGTGCTGCGATGGTAGCGGAAATCCATACAACACGCCATCTCACAACCGCTCATTTGAGTGTTCAGTGTTACTCGACCCTCGATTCAGGTTGACAAAAGGTAGACCCCTTAACAATCAAAGCGCGGTTTGGCCTTATGTTCTACTTGAACCCATTCAGTTGAAGAACGTCATAAATGAGAGATTCACTTGAGTCTTCCGTGAAAACCAAATTGATTCGCAAATGAGTGTATCTGTCGAGAATGGCAACGTTTTTGAAAAGAATTCTACGTTCTAGAACGAGCGACTCAGAGCAAGATGCCTAGACCCCTTAGGAACATTGGAACATATAGATCGGTTGACCGTGTTAGGGCGAGTTTCCGACGTCGCGACGGGTCAGGCATTTACGGACCACAACCCAATGCCAACACAACAAACAAGGGGTGGTTAGGCGGTCTGGTTTGGAAGTAACATCAAGCTCGTCACTTGGCTCGATTGTCTGCCATGTCCTGTGGGGCTTCCGACCGCTTGCAAAACGTATCATATTTACCCCATCTAGGAGGACACGAAGGTCCCAAACCACTTAACTTGGTGGCAACAGCTTTTATTTCGTCCTGCGACATGGCTCATTCGCCGCAAACCTTGCGCCAACAATAAACGGTGTATTCAGATTTTATCAACTTCCTATGAAATGCCCTTCAGTTTCCGATGGAAACCCCAGCTGAAGCACATTGAATGACTGTATAACTCGTAAAACAATACTTGAAGATCTTTCACCCATCACATTCAGGTACGTTGAATCGTGTCCTGAAGTGGCCTCTGATCAAAATTTGGGAGCACTTATACGCAAGAACATCTGTAAATGAAAGATCTGTGGACTCGCTTGCTAGCCTCAGTCATCTCCCAGAACCGAACTTGTAGAATGTACATGACTAGAACGTACATGACCTGTTCTCCATCGTGAAGCATCGCTGTCCCTTCAATTCACTACTGTTTTGTCATGTTTTCTTTATGTTTTCAGTCTTCGGATACATATCGTTTACACGTATGTACGACTCTGTATCCTGATAGCACGGTCTTTTCTGATGACTCATCAGGAGTACATTTTTTTCCTTGTCTACAAAGGTTTAGGGTGGAAAGCACGGCCCTGATATATGGCTAATAACCGCAGATATATTTTGAGATTTTGCGGTAACTGACACTCTCCCTGCTGGCACAGGATCGGCGTCAGAAATGAGGTCGAAAAGCGGACGAGAGAGGTGTAGCGACATCGGCTGAGAACAGGTCATGAGGCAATAGAAAGAAAACTTTCGTAGGCGAATAAATTGATGGAGCTCGAGATTTTCGGTGCTGAAGCTGCCAGCGTACCGACAAGAGGGTCCGTTGTTCGAACGCAACGTGAGAATGACGATTGCTCCCTCTAGGTTTGGACAACCTGATAGTATCCCAAGCTTGGCGCCTCCATCCGTTGGCGTGGCAGCTGGGCACCGATTGAATGCTACAACTGAACCGTTATTTTGATTAAATGAAGAGGTTAAATGTGGGAACGGTGTGCTGCATGGAAATAATCCAGGATTTGTGAAATGCCACTATCACAGACGGAAGTGCTTCTGAGGAAGAACATTTTGATATAAGCTGTTGATTGTAGAAAAGGGCGTTTGTTTATGATCCACCACTCTGTTTCGGAGAAAAAGCTGAGCTATTTGAAATTGCGGGTATTAAAATCGGGTAGAAATTGGATCTAGTTCTCTTGCGACGGTTGGCGTTCCCCAGCAACCTACTGAGCTAGGCCGAGGGATGCTCAGCAGCTTCCTCGAGCGGCAACATTCTTTCATTGAACAGGTGCCATGTCGCCTGAAGAAACCACGATGACTGAGACCATGCCAGGTTGCCCCAGCCTTGACGGAGGCAACCGAGATATCTACGCTGGGTTTGACCCACACACCTTTCGGCTGAGTTTTGGCATTAATCAACGAGCTTGAGGATGCTCATGCAACATCCGAAGAGTCACGTAAAGCTGGTTAATAGATAGAGATCTGTTAAACAGTTTCCTGGCCCATGTAATCAGGACACGTGATAGCCCACTCTGAGGTAGAATTTCGTGGCACCCTTATTGCTAGTCTTGTTGGCATTCTTTTTAAAGTAATATGTATGTGCGTATAATGTGCCTGGGTGTAGAATGTCGTCTTTCTACATGTATGACGTTTACTGTGTATCGTCATCCTGTTCAATTAATTTTCACTTTCAGGAATATGCCTGGCATTGTTAACGCCTCCGTTGATCTGCGGAATTTGAATCCACAAGAATGGATGTCGCCATCAGTCACACCGTCTGATGAACTCGTTGTAATTTTATATGACAGTGCAACTTAATGTCTCCCACAGAACAGACTAGACTCTTCTTTTCGGGCGAAAATAGAAACATTGTGTATGCAACTTCAGGTGGGTTACACTGCATGTTTTGGTACATTTTCACTGGGGGCGAGATGGTCCAGTTGGTTAGGGCGCGATTTCACTGACCCGAAGGTCCGTGGTTCGAACCCGATCTCCGCCTCTCGACTTCCCCTGTCTTGGCTTGGGCAACCTGGCAGTATCCCAGATCTCGTGCTTCCTTCGGGTTGCATGGAAGTTAGGCACCGAAAGGATGCTACAGCTGAACGTTTTTCCTACATTTTCACTGGCTTTCATCTTTGACCTGTCTTAGAAACGCAGCTGCTGACAGCTTATTGCATTCGTGATGGGCTGTGATATTGCGCAGTCGCACTGGCCTGGTTAGTCTAGTGTGTATCAGATGGCTTCTTTTGACCATGCCCTAATCCTTGGGAGTTCTAAGTTGCGCTTTTGTGTCCATGCTCAGTACCTCGTTTGGAATGTTCATGGGACGCCCATGTGAGCCGTTTCTTCAATGTCGACCTCTCATTGATGGATTATTAGTTACTGTTATTGGATTGCATGTAGGATAATGTAAGGTTCGTATAAAACCTGGAAGGGAGAGTGGTTACCCTTAAGGTTAGCAGAAAGGTTGATGCTGCTCCATGTTTCGCGCCTTCATCCATCTTCAAACGGACAGGTCCTGTGTTAGGGATGTGCTTCGCTCGAGGTGCCTCTGAATTCAAATTAAGATTGGAAGTTGAGCGAAAGCCACTTAACCTCATGGTTATACCGGTGTATCGGGCACTTATTTCAGCCCCAGTGCCCTTCCGGTGCAATGTTGCTTGGAAACCCGAAGGATTTGTCATGGCTGATATACAGCCACGTTTTTCAGGCCTAAATAGGGGAGACGAAAAAGCACGGGTAGCTTGGAATCATGACCGTTCTGGCCGGTATGTCGCATATTATTTCGTGAATCATGAATCTTTTGATCACCTTACCTACTTGGTGAACATTGTGGAGGGTGAAGTGGTATCGAACATACGAGTTTTCAGCAACTTTATGTGCTGTGTGTTCCATCAAGAAAAGATCATTATTATTACTTCGATATTCACCCGAACTTGGGAACGCAGCTCACCCGGGTATTGCTACTGAGGTGGAGTTATCTCATGTACCTATTTGTAGGCAAGATGTATGTAATTGAAGAAATGCTGGGGAACAGCGTGACTCAAAAGCCCAACAGTCCCTCCCCTGGATGATCTAGTGAAGAGCGAAGAGTTCTCGTGGAATATGGAACCACGACAAACATTTACGGGGCTATATTAAGCCTTGTTTGCGGAAGTACTCTTGAACGTTCTTGAGAATTTCACAACGACCTGTCTGTTTATTCTTGGGTCTGATGCAAAAATAACACGGTCCGCTGCATTCTCGACCTGACGTGACACGTACAATGTTGAACACGGCACAGCGTAGGAAATAACGGCCACTGTCACGTGCTAGCTGTTGTCCCTAATGTCCATAAACAATGTTATGTTTTATTATGTTATGGTTGTTATTTGAACTGTAAACATCTCGTCACTAATCTAGGAAGCACCGTCCGTACGCATTTGGGCTAACTAGCAATCACTAAGCGCACCAAAGCTACCGATATCTCGGGATATTTCCAATAATGTTGTTGTCTTAGAGAAGTGTCAAATAGGCCTATACATGCGTGAGAAGGCCGTAGTGTTGTGAGTCTGTTTGTATTTGGGCAAGTTCTACAGACCAATCTAACCGAACGTTTTCACATCAGTATGAAGATGCTTTTCTTTGATGAAAAAATTATGCTTGCCAATGAGGTGTTCTTTATGGGGTAGCTAAGAAATAAAGGTGAAACCATCATTTTCCCTTTCCATTGTCTGCTAAACAATCTGGGCTGTCCCCTCTGAGTGGTTTCGTTCTGCGAAAATGGTGCACGTATTAAACCAGCCGCAGGTGAGGATGCATTGACACCCTCTATCTTATCCACGGCCAGACATTCGATGCCGCCTTGACCCACTGCATCCTTTCACAGCGGCTCTTCACGGGAGGTATCGCGGCTTCCCCAGATAGTAGCACGTTAGCTTAGTTCGTTTGTGAATTCAGGGTGAAGTTTACCGTCTGCGGTATCGACGTAACCTTTGTCGTTCACTGCTTTTACATCTCACTATCCCCGTATTTTTGTTCAGGGTAAACTTTGTCGCGAAATGGAGAAAATTGATGGTCAGGCGAGATTTCGCGTAGATAAATGGGATAGGAAAGCGGTAAGTTACGACACAAATATCTGCTATTCGCTTTCCTTTTGCTACGTTAGCTGAGCGGTAAATTCTAACCTTACTTGCCTTTTTATCCTGGCTCCAGTAGATAGAAGTTTATCTTGGCCTGTCATGCCAGCAAGCAACGACCAACGCGGTGCATGCTGATATCTTAAACGATGTTTGATGAGCAACATGAGAGTGCTGGTGAACGGCGAATGTTAAGGAGACAGAAGGGCGTCGCCGAACAACAGATTATCTTCATGCCTTCCGTCTGATGACCTGGAGAAGCACGGCTTGAGTGAAACGACTAGTGGCTCGAGACAGATGTGTTGAAAGCTATTTGCTCACACAAATACTCTCCAGAGTGATGGCCTGAACGTGAATTTGAACGGAATGTGGGTACCAGTTCCCCATCTGCAACAGATATGTAACGAGATTTTCTGAACGCATGATACTGTAAGCTTGTTTCCACTTTAAGGGTGCTGTGACACTAGTAACCACCTTGACACCTTGGGCACATGGGACGAGGAGAGGATGTCACCGTATCGGTTTTTGATCTTCTTGTTCATCCCCTCTTGAATGCACTTCGTCCTTTTGAAGACCTAACTAGAAAGGAACAGGCTTTGCTGGGCACGATCCCGAATGCTAGTGAGGATGGAAATACAGTCTCAACGGGTAAGCTAGTGAGTTAGTACGCTTAACTGGGTAATGGTCTTTTCGTTGGGGTGTGTACCAATTCACCGGAGCGGTGTAGAGTGTATGACCAATGCCCAAGGACTCTTGATAAGATGTGCAGAATTGGTGACTCATTACATCAACAACGAATGCCCGTCCAACTGCATCACCCACCAGTGCTATTCGGTGTCAGTGTTCCTCTCCTCCAAATTATCACGTGGTTTTGAGCATCTATGCATCCAGTGTTAAAATATGAGGTATGAGGCGATCAATATGACGGAATACGATCGGCGAGCGAACGTGCAGAGATCTGTTGTAAGCCATCAGCCAACCTAAACACAATGGCGTAACAATGGGCACCGGTTTCACTTATCATCGAGATACCAGAATGACCTGTCGATTCCTTTAAGTCTCAGCGTAATGCCATAGCTCATACGGTACAATCCCATGCGAATGTTACCGTGAGCCATTATTTGACACACAGTCAAGGTGTTAATGAATAAGCTGGTGGTATTCTGTTATCTCTGGAGTCAAGAATGTTGCCATCTTCAGGCTGACAGTCAACAGAAACAAGCCTACCTCGGTTCCATATGATTGCGTTTAGCAGCTGGATCAGTGATTATCCTGGTGGCCCACTAGGACGATCCTACTAAGACTCATGTGTTGCGCAAGTCCATATGGCTGCAGCTGTATTTGGCAAATTCAGCTCCCCCCGAATGGCTTGCTTGCTTCCTATTATTGCAATACATCTTGTCCAAAAGCCTGTCACACCTGCTTGAATAGCCGTTATCCGTGTTGTTCTGTCGAGTGTTAGGTCATTTCATAACAAAGTGAAAGTTACTGTTTTTAGATTTATATACAAGCTGTCCCACTGGTGCTATTTCTGGCGTCTCCGATTTCAAACTCGATTGTGCAGCTGGGCGTAATTAGGTTGTCTTGGAATGCGAGTTTTCGCCGTAACCTAATCAGCAGAACTGTTTTTTAAATCAGGATGCATTTAATTCCAACAATGTCCTTCAAAGGGCCTCGATGTTTGGGATTCGGCCCTTTCGTCTGCTTGGAAGGATATTACGCAGATCGTGATAGTCGAGAACCCGGGGCGTATTGTTTGTCTATGGAGTCCAGGTCTTGGGTCTTTACACCAATGAAGACAACAAAATATCATGGTACGCTGCACTCCTAATGATTATTCGCAAGTGGTGGTTGCTCCAGATGTGTTTCTTAAGATGGCCTAATGCCACACCAGCTTTTGAATTCATGCGTTTTTCTTGTTATCAGGTGTTAGGTCCGTTGACAGTGTGCTGCCAAGATAACAAAAATCAGTGCAGCGCACTATCTCACAATCGTTTATAGGATACTCGGCGCTTTTTGTTGAATTCCCGGTGCAAGCGGGGTGCCGCCGAACCGAACGCCGTAGTTAGCTGCTGTAATTCCGTTTCAGGGTGCAAAAGTGAGACGCCTTTGTCTACAAACGGCATCAAGCAGGAATTGGACTAGTGTACCAGTGTTTTGATGAGGAGACGCCTCCACTTGAATAAATGACGTTGAATCGTTGTTTTTCCGTGACAATGCTGGAACGCGTCTGCACAGATAATTGTTAACCAGGGGCGGAATAGCCCATTGCTAAGAAAATGGCCTTGTTTCGAACGCCTTGGTGATAGCTGCGATGGCTGGCACTCAGGCATTCATTCCAGTGTGAAAGGCTTGATTTGGTTGACAAACTTGTTTGGGCAGCTGGGCTTTCGCGGGCAGTCCACAATGCTCCCCTGCTGGCTCAGTGGAGGACTTTTTTATGTCACAAACTCTTTATATGGCAGTTGATTCTATTCACCACATTCTTCTGGGATTTGTATTGCAGCAAGTGTTGCACGGACCACATTCTGACCCTTACAAAATGCACACTGCATTGATGTCTTCCTCCATAGATGAATGGAAAAGAAGTATATGATTGGTTGTTGTTCAGGTGGCTGTTGATCTGTTCGCTGAGCTTGGCAATTGATTTGCAAACGTTTCGTCACCATACGAGGGGACGTCATCAGTTCACAGTTGGGTGATGATGCTGGGCAGATGATATCTCCTCGTATGGTGACGAAACGTCTGCAAGTCAATTACCAAGCTCGGTGAGCAGATCAACAACCGATAAACTCACCCGAGCTACCAATATTTCGACACATTACTAACAAGTACATCATCCCTAATATCAAAAGTCCAGTCTAACTAATTGTGGTTTACCCTTTTACCGAAGCGCCATATAATTGCCAATGAAGTGGTCACTCTCGGATGACTCTGATAAACGTTTAAACCTGGGCTGAGTTGAAATCGTTGATACGTAGCTGTCGTATAAATTGTTCCCACTTGTTTCGACAGGGCGGCGGTGGTATTTCGTGTGTTATGGAGAACGGTGCTGTTTTTGAGAAGGCAGGAGTGAATATTAGTTCTATAACTGGTACGCTCAGTGAGAACGCAGTGAAGGAAATGCGTGTAAGGTAAGCATCAGGATGTATACTATCCACCACTTAATGCATGTTTATGTTTTTTTCACAGCAGACATATTCACTGAATAAACTTGTCACCTGACTCCCAATACGATGGGCACAATCATGCGTTAGTGGCTGTGACCGGTGATCATCGGTCGTAGAACGATGGCCTGAACACCAAAGGCCAGCTCAGATTACATGAAGATAGTTATGAGATCATGCTTGGTAGTTGAAAGGTTTGCTGAAGTTAGCTTAGCATAACCAGTCTGGACGATATCATCAATGCATAGCAAAGTAGCGGTGCGTCGGCGTCGGTGTTCCTCTCGTCTTTAAGTGGGTTTTTTCATCCCTGCTTCTTCCGGGGTTTTATCAGAACCTATGCTAGGTTTCTCCCCCCGAGTATTTTTTCACTTAATTGAAGTTGTCAGTGTGCGATAGATTTAGAGCAGTCCAATCTCTATTTCACACGCTGTCACTTAAGATAAAGTTACGGAATTTACATATCTACGAGTTCTCTCTGTCCAGCGGTCCTTCTTACTGCTCATTCCCGCTTTCTTTTTTACTGTTTTAGACATCAGGAACTGAATGTCGATAATGAATGCAACTTTTTTGCTTGCGGTATAAGTTCCGTTATCCACCCGGTACGTTTTGGCCTTGTGTTAACACCCGTTTTGAATGTCGGAATGCTATTCCATCGTTAACCCATAGCATTAGGCTGTGGGTTATCTGTTCCTGACCACCATTTTGTACACGCCTTTTTTTGAGTTGACTGAGTTTTCTCTCCTGAAACAATTGGTTCTATAGGTATTGGGCTGTCTTTCAGTTTTGCGCTTTTGTTTGATCGCGCTGCTCCAGTTTTTACTCTGCAAAGAGTGCTGGTAGCCGTCGCTGTCTCAGTGAGCGGAGGGAAACGTGTCGAATGACGTAAGAGTGTCATAGAAGCCTGACTGGATTAGTGGATAGTTAGGTGATTCTAAGAAACAGGAATTCAGAGGTGGGCATTTCTAGGAAAAAATAAATGCACTCATTTGTTAACTAAATTTTTCTTACGGGTGACCCATCTGAATCTGAGCTAAATCTCCTGTGTATGATATCCTTCAACTGATTGTGTTTGCACATGACCGTCTAGCGTTTCGGTTGATACTGTATTCGAGACATTGTAGTACATCTCACCGAATACTATTTATAAGGTTGGTGAGAACTTCTTGGCTGCACATGACCGGTTTCGCTCTTCGTGAAGCTCACCAGGTAAGCGCACAGAATTTGAATCCAAGTAGCACATAAGGTTGTCGGAAATCCGAGGATGGTGCCCATGATTAGCCTCAAAAAAAGCGAAACCGATCGTGGGCAAGCGTTTAGTAACCTTATGAGTAGTGTTCTGTCATGAAGACTGGATAGATTCTGGCAGCCGAAGGCTAATACTTAATAATCAGGGCCAAGGGTAAGCAAGCGGATCGGGATACTGAACGTTTGCTGGAGCCAGATGGAAGTGGTTAGTTCCCCTGAGTATTTAGTTTTGTAGTCATCATCATCATTATCATCGACAGCATGACATCAGTGTTCAACACCGATGCTTCGTTGCCGTATAGCACTGTAGTGGTAGCGACAAAATAGCTTGCGAGAGATTGGCGAAGCCCTGACAGCCATAGACTGAGTAATTGGAAGGCAGTCAGTAGAATGCGGAATTTTCCTTGGAATATCCTCAAAACGTGAGCGATGTGTAGAAAAACATCGTCATAAATAAGACCATATTACTCTACAGTAGGTCCAGTCTGGGATTTATACAAAAGCAGGTTCGGGGGAGGAAGAGAGGTGACAAAACTGGGGGTCGCGCGTTTTTCAAAGTGCGAATATAGCTAGAAGAGGTTGTTAGTAGATAGCAGACAATGTGAAGGACAGTACATAGCTTTGGGGGCACCTCCGTCCGTATTCGCGAAAGGAAGAACCACCACCGTCAAGGAGCCCTTAGTTCAATTCGCTCAATCAATTTGAGGTCCACAAATCTTCTGTTTGTCAATAAGGTCGTGTTGACAATCACTTACGATACCCCTCAAGACACTGAAGCACGCCGATTAGGTTACCCCAAGGACCGATTGCAAATATCTAGATATAAAATATACTTCAGCAAGTTACCGGTAGAGCAATGGTGGTCAAGCCCATATTGGTTGTCGGTTGGGAAGATGTGACTCTCCAGGTTACTTACAAGCCTGACTCCAGATCTTCGGATACACTTTGGACGAAAGGCACAGGACAATAGTTATTCTGATTGTGTAGAGAACTACGCATATGGCTAAGGGGTAGGTTAGGATTTTGCGGGGATAAGTTAACCGCACCGTAGGAGGCGACGTGTGGTTTGAACGAATTCTGGGACACAGATGTGAAACAAACCAGACCGGAATTTTCAGGAAGAAGTGAAATGGGCCACAAGGAAGCTGGACAATTGTCTGGCATTTCCTTCAGGCGGCAGGCTCAGGGTCATATTAGATTCGAGATCAGGGAGATAGGTGGAAGGAAAGAACTGATGACTTATCTCTTTTGTAAGATTCCGAATGAGGTTCCTTCCGTCAGGTGTACTGGTCGGGTGATCGGCTTCAGGACTGGTTTGCGTATCCTTAGCCTCGGTGATGAAGGCCTTGAAGGGTTGTGTGAGACGAACTACTCAGGACAGAATGCAAGGAAGGTTTGGGAACTACAACATCCATACGTCCGGCACGACTGGCATCCTGCTTCAGGATTTGAGTTAGTTACCCACTCATAGTTTCCATAGGATGGGTGGTGGTATGTTCCTGGAGGGAAGAGTGAGGCATCTGCCTGTGACATCTTGTAAGCAATGAGACCTAATAAGGGCATAGACACGCTAAACTGAACATAAGTCGGCCCGTTTAGGTATACATGCAGTCGACACCCTTATTCTATCAGTAGTATCATAGCAACCACGCGTCATTCACCTCTTCCTGCTTCTCAGGCTGGGGCCCTCAGACGTTGTACCAAAGCCCGGTGCTGTGATACAAGTGGCATCCCCTAATCAAGGCAGTGGTCAACATTTTCTATAAAGGAGAATGTCGGTAGCTCAGGTAGCGTAGATGGTCGTTGGCTTGTTCGCTGAGCTGGGCAATTTGGTTGCAAACGTTTCATCACCAATCGAGGTGATATCATCAGTGCGTAGTTGTGCGTAGCGGTGGGTTAGTGGTTGTGCACAACCACTAGCCCACCGCTACGCACAACTACGCACTGATGATATCACCTCGATTGGTGATGAAACGTTTGCAACCAAATTGCCCAGCTCAGCGAACAAGCCAACGACCATCTACGCTACCTGAGCTACCGACATTCTCCTTTATAGAAAATGTTGACCACTGCCTTGATTAGGGGATGCCACTTGTATCACAGCACCGGGCTTTGGTACAACGTCTGAGGGCCCCAGCCTGAGAAGCAGGAAGAGGTGAATGACGCGTGGTTGCTATGATACTACTGATAGAATAAGGGTGTCGACTGCATGTATACCTAAACGGGCCGACTTATGTTCAGTTTAGCGTGTCTATGCCCTTATTAGGTCTCATTGCTTACAAGATGTCACAGGCAGATGCCTCACTCTTCCCTCCAGGAACATACCACCACCCATCCTATGGAAACTATGAGTGGGTAACTAACTCAAATCCTGAAGCAGGATGCCAGTCGTGCCGGACGTATGGATGTTGTAGTTCCCAAACCTTCCTTGCATTCTGTCCTGAGTAGTTCGTCTCACACAACCCTTCAAGGCCTTCATCACCGAGGCTAAGGATACGCAAACCAGTCCTGAAGCCGATCACCCGACCAGTACACCTGACGGAAGGAACCTCATTCGGAATCTTACAAAAGAGATAAGTCATCAGTTCTTTCCTTCCACCTATCTCCCTGATCTCGAATCTAATATGACCCTGAGCCTGCCGCCTGAAGGAAATGCCAGACAATTGTCCAGCTTCCTTGTGGCCCATTTCACTTCTTCCTGAAAATTCCGGTCTGGTTTGTTTCACATCTGTGTCCCAGAATTCGTTCAAACCACACGTCGCCTCCTACGGTGCGGTTAACTTATCCCCGCAAAATCCTAACCTACCCCTTAGCCATATGCGTAGTTCTCTACACAATCAGAATAACTATTGTCCTGTGCCTTTCGTCCAAAGTGTATCCGAAGATCTGGAGTCAGGCTTGTAAGTAACCTGGAGAGTCACATCTTCCCAACCGACAACCAATATGGGCTTGACCACCATTGCTCTACCGGTAACTTGCTGAAGTATATTTTATATCTAGATATTTGCAATCGGTCCTTGGGGTAACCTAATCGGCGTGCTTCAGTGTCTTGAGGGGTATCGTAAGTGATTGTCAACACGACCTTATTGACAAACAGAAGATTTGTGGACCTCAAATTGATTGAGCGAATTGAACTAAGGGCTCCTTGACGGTGGTGGTTCTTCCTTTCGCGAATACGGACGGAGGTGCCCCCAAAGCTATGTACTGTCCTTCACATTGTCTGCTATCTACTAACAACCTCTTCTAGCTATATTCGCACTTTGAAAAACGCGCGACCCCCAGTTTTCCCACCGCTACGCACAACTACGCACTGATGATATCACCTCGATTGGTGATGAAACGTTTGCAACCAAATTGCCCAGCTCAGCGAAGAAGCCAACGGCCAGTGGTCAACATGTTTCAGTCACTCACATGGTTAGTAGAAATCCTCGTAGACAAATCGGGTTGCCTCCGTCAACGTTAACGACGGAGGCTATGTGAAGCTGTCACAGCCTCACGAAGCCAACGGCCAGTGGTCAACATGTTTCGAACAGTCACATGGTTAGTAGAAATCCTCGTAGACAAATCGGGTTGCCTCCGTCAACGTTAACGACGGAGGCTATGTGAAGCTGTCTTCAACAGCCTCACCTTAATTATGCAACACAGAAAGGTGTCGCCAGGTCGTGAAGAAAACAAATTGTTTGCTAGCTAATTTTTGTTTGAGGAAACTTGTGTTTACAGTAAATCGTGGTCCAAAGGCCTTTGGCACATGCACAGCAAACAAAGGGATCACTATCTTGTCGCCAACGCATTACAGTGCAGTGGGTCTGTTCCAGTTCTATGTTTCCTATTGGAACTGTAGACGGAAGGTCATATGCACTCAAAAACTAGATGCTAGAGCCAACAAATTTCATCCGGCGTTTTTTGGTACAACGAAGTGATTGCTACATGCATGGTGATATTGGGTTCCTCTTCGTCGTCTGTTTGTGGAGAAACAAGACAATACAGCCCATGTTGTATTGGCTTTGGAGCAATAAAATACAAGTTCAAATCTTCTCTCACTGAATATATATGATGCCTAACAGGTGTTCCACGTCAGCCGGACACTAGTCTGTGGCTGAGCTTCAAGGAAGCATTTAATTTTGCCACGGTCACTTTTGTCTGGAGAAGCTACATTTCCCCTTGCAGATGTTTTTTTCATTGTTTAGCTATCGGAAATATTCCAGTGTCCTAGGATTAAGCCTGTGGACGCCGTACTTTTAAACAGGAGCTTCGCAAGTTTCGTCAAAGAACTTTTGGTCGCTTGTGGGGGAGCGAGATGGCCCGATTGGTTAGAGCGAGAATTTACTGACCGGAAGGTCCGTGGTTCGAACCCGACCTCTGCTCCTCAACTTTCCCTGTCTAGGCTTGGGCGACCAGGCAGTATCCCAGCCCTCGTGCTTCCTTCGGGTGGCATGGCAGCTGGGCACCGAAAGGGTGTTACAGCTGTACGATTATCTTATTATCTTATTTTCGCTGACTTGTCATGAGCTGTATTCAATGTTACGGACAGTCATTGTGATTTTCGCCCTCAAGTAGCTGTGAACATACTGACCATTCGCCCCTTCATGAGGTTTTACGACGCAATGTGTTAATGTGCGCTTTGCGTAGTTTCTTGGCTGATACTTTCAAGGCCTTAGGATTTAGCGGAGGTTCGTTTCATTAGCTTTGATGGATTCCCTGGCCGAAAGATGACATAGAATTAACACAACTTGTAACATAGTTGACGGTCAGTTTTTTGGAGCCTAACAACGACAGTGTCACAGAAACAACCTGACTTTAATTGCAATGACAGATGGGAACACCAATATGACTGGTAGAATGGTACATTCTTCAGACAGGAGTCTCCTGGTTGTTCTTTCTCCTTGTCCCTCTTTAAATCACATATTGTTTGGGCTGCTTCAGAAAGTATTACAGAGTAGGCTCCTAATCCACCTCACTTGTTTACATTTAGCTGAATCCCTTCGTTCCAACAACACACTTCAATTTTCGTTACTTCGAAGTCATCCAGTCTGATGGTCGTAAGAGTTGGTGGTACGGTGGTGGCTCGGATTTGACTCCCTACTATCTGTTCGAGGAGGATGCGCGGCACTTTCACGAGCAATTGAAGCTAGCCTGTGACAAACACGATCCAACATATTACCCACGCTTCAAGAAATGGTGCGACGAGTACTTCTTTTTGAAGCATCGAGGTTAGTTTTATTGTTTTTTCGCCACCTGTTCGCCTTCATCAAACGGGCGTAAGTTATTGGTGTTCATTTTGTGAAGTGATTCTAAAACCATAAGGTGCCAGATTTAAGAGGAGTTGGGGTATGTTTTCCCAGGAACAGTTGCCTCACCCGGAAACTCTCGATTGCTGAACTAGTGCCTCATCAACCGCTCCATGTTTCGCTGAACCAATTGAATTTTGAAGTTTCTTTGCCACACACGTACTTAGTAGACCAAAACATTACCAACTTAGTAGACCATCCGGAAGAAGTTTGGCCTCGTCGTGGGACCAGAGATAGCTTACATTGGCTGTTTATTTGGCTGTATCAGAGAGCACTGATGTAACAAGTCTGTAGTTTTATGTGGATGATGGTGTTGATAGGTCGGTTGGTTGAGTTGGTGGTGGAGGTGTTTGCTGAGCTTGCAATTTTGTTGCCCAAGATTCTTCGCCAATCGAGGTGACCTCAATGCACTTCGATCCGCTTAAGGACAACGCTGAACCGGTGTCGAGGTGACCTCAATGCACTTCGATCCGCTTAAGGACAACGCACTAATGAACCGTTGTAAAAAAAAATAGCCAAGATTAGCGAACAACTCTTCCACCAGAGTTTTTAGTACCATGCAGGCCACTGGACTAAGGTTCAATATACAGTCTTCAGGTTTAGGTTTTTGAGAATGGATGGGCGTTGCCTACCCTTGTAGCCCTGTACTGACGAGCGCTCCCTTGAGACAGGGCTTTCCAGCCAATGGCTTTTCGCGTGGGCCGTTTTCAGATATGGATGCTCTGGCTCGGAAAACAACAACAGCTACTTCACCTAGGGAACCAGGTATCCACGTGTAGCAAACTAGAGTAAAACCATCAGTCTTTGTCTTCAATTTTGTCTGCATCGCACATGCTGGGCTGGCTGAAGCTTCCCGCACTTCGAAAATTTGAGACTATCAAACAGTTACTTTTCAGTTTGTCTAATATTCTCTCTGCTATGCCGTCTAGATAAATTATGCTGAGCGGGGGCAGTTTATGATACCTAGGTTCACATCCCACCCGCACGCTGCCTGCCAAAATCACCCATTATTCACTAAACAGTGACATGCATAACGGGGTAAACAACACTTTTGAACGAGTATCTGATCCGTTTCTAGAGCGACCTAGTCGATCCGAGCAAGATGGTAAGAAAAAGTTAACACCAATTTAACTTGCAAATGGGTGCATTTTGCGAAAATATCTTTCAATTTACAAACCACGTTTCACTCCAAAACTGACCCTGTTTTAACCCAACTGTGCTGTCTGCACGCTTCAGCAACTGAAAACACTTTCAGTTGTAGAACCCGGACAGTGTTTAAAGAATTGGTTCCCTTTTCCGATCCCGAAAGTGTCTCACCCCTACCTAACTTTTCTGCTTTTGAAAACCCGGCTTCGCTCAGTGTTGGTGGTAGTCACAATTTGCAGTTAAACTCGTTCGATCGAGAGACATCTACCGCTCTGACAACCGGTCACTGACTGGCCTGTTGCTCATCTTCTAGATGTGGCCTCTGTTTCGTTTCTACCGCTAGAAGTATGTTAGGTGTTCTTCAGAAGTTTTTTTTAGAACGATGCACTAGTTCTTGCGGAAGCCACCACTGTTTTCAAGCCCACGTTGTTGAACTGAACTCCACTCTTTCTCCCTTTGACAGGATGACCAGATCGTGGAACCTTTCCTCCTTCAATGTTCCCACCTTACTTCAGCTCAGTTGTCGTCAGTTTACTGCGTAACAAACACTTAATATCTTACTACAGAGTTTCTTGATTACTGGGACTACCCTTTGAGTAGAATCGGGACCGCGTGATCCCCACTGCGCCTGGTTGGAGACACTGCAAGACATGACTGCCAATCGATGTCAGTGGCGTTCTTGTTGTCAGTTTCTATCCAGATTGTCTGAGTGAATGTCTGGAGGTGTAGGCACCTCGGAATGATTGTGTTAAGCTAGCACTAAGTCCCTTCCCCGTCCAACTTTATTCTTTTCTTTAGAATAAGGCTTTCAAATAAATCATGGTTGTATGGCAGTGAAGCATTGATGTTGAACACGAATGTTATGCTGTCGATAATGATGACCCTTTAAGTGCACATTTATTACCTGAAACAGTTTATGCTGTAACTTAGTTGGTAGCGCGCTCGTCCGGCAGATATAATTTGATAAGATGGGTCTGGATTGTGAAACGCCGTTCGGCGACCGATATTCTTATCAGTAACTGAGACAGCATCGTGATAAAGTTAATCGTGATTTTGTTACACGCTTTTTTTGTAATCCATCTGCTGTGCCATCGGTACAAATCTTACAGTTTACGACTTATCACAGCAACACGTGACGTTTGAACTGAGCCGCTAGTCCATGAGCTCACATGGTGCTTAAGCTCGTTTATGCCCCAACTAGTTTTAGTTTCCAGTCGTTCTAAGGGAGATTTATTTCTACCTCTCTTGGGATTCCGATAGGTGAAACTCGCGGAGTTGGTGGCATTTTCTTTGATGATCTTGAAGGACAATCGCAGCAGCAAGTTTTCGAGTTCGTTCGTGTGAGTTCTGTTTGGTCTAACATATTGCCTACCAATATTCTACACTGGTAACCTGTTTATCACGCATTGGTGGCTGGACAGCTCAGTAGCTAGAGGGCGAATTTACAGACCGAAAGATCCGTGGTTCGAACCTGACCTCTACTTCTCGACTTCTCCTCTTTAGGCTTGGGTAAACTGGCAGTATTCCGGCCCTCGTGCCACCTTCTGGTGGCATGGCAATTAGGCACCAAAAGGGTGCTACAGCTGAACGATTTATTTATTTTTATCACGCGTTGCTTATCATTGTTATCCTTTCAACTTTCATTTCAGTATAGAAGTAGGGTACACACTGGACTTTACTCCAAAACAAAAACAGAAAGTCCATTTCCTTTTCACTCATGTTAACCATCTATTCAATGACCTTCGGGAAAACTTTCGCTTCTCATAATTATGAGATACTATGCAGTGTTCGATTCAAGTCACTTCTCAGCAGAAGTCGCGCGACTAGCTAATGATATGTGGGGACGCTGATTTTTAGAAAGTGTTTAGAGGAAGTTCCCACGGGAACTTGATCGTTCCTTCTGGGTCTTTGAAAGGTATTCACACTTCACCATACCAAGTTTCGGTTTTCATGGGAGAACTGTCTGAATTCCAGCTGATTCTCTTGTTTACTGTATGCGGCAACTTTGGAGTAGTTTCCTTCACGAAACTATCCACACTTCACCTTCTGGGGACCTATAATAGGCATGCCGTTTTTTGTTGAATCAACCAGAATTGTAACGGTTCACGTGTTCGTGAGTTTCCTATCATGAGATTGCAGATACCGCTGGTTTCCTGTAGACATTTGTGTAACTGCAATGCGAGCAATCAACTGGGTTTATAATGCATGTGGTGTGTATTCAGCACTAAAGAATACACTGTTCCTCTGCGAGGGAGGGATTCGAGAACTCCGTGTGAATTCCTTCCTTGGTCGTTAAATTTTGGTTGAATGCTTCCTCAACCATACAGGCAATTACCGTTTTAATAAAGGAAATTGAAAAGTCTTTCGAGCTGATTGAGAAGTTATGGGCAACATCTCGCCTTTGACACAAAGTTTTCGCCCGACCAAGTTAGTAGGTTACAAAGTTGGCTGAGTTTTAAGGCAAAAGGATAAAGAATCTGCAAGATCTCTTCTGATTAGCGTGTTAGTTCAGTTTTCAATGTCAGTTGAAAGGTCCTACCAGTAAGTGGGGTGCCTAAATCTCACGTCCGATGGGCGGGGAATTTCAAACCATTTTGATCGTGTTTTGGTCCTGGATTATCCGGTTCAAGAAGTTACAGATGATGATCCCTTTTGGGTGGCACTGGTTAATTTGCTTGTCTGTGTGAGTTTGTAAGTGTTACTTCAAGGCTTTTGTGTCAAACGCGAGACATTGCCCAGTTATTGAACCACCGACCACTTACCAAGCCCTTCCGAAATGAAAAGGGATACTTGTCTCAGCTTTGTAGCCCACATACCCTCGCTGATTTTAATCAGATCTGGTCTGGTCATGTGCTGTTTGGGTCTCGATATAATCTATAAGAGGTTTAGTTTTCGATGGCAGATGAACAACTCACTTTCGACCTTCCTCATCCCGTTGAAATGAGGAGTTTAGCCTTGTAGTAAAAAATTTTGCATACAATGAAAATGCTAGAAAAAACAGTAGTTTAATGGGAAAGTGAGTCAGAATTTTCGCTTAATATGGACAGTCAGTCAAACATCCCCGAACAAATGAAAGTGTTGACGACTACTGCAGGAAAACTGTGGGACCACCAATTCTGGTAGGACTGAATCCTCCTGACAGATAACGTAGGCCACAGTAATTGAGTTCAGTGTCTTTGGCACTCCAAATTCGTTATAGATGCAGAACAAAAAGTGATATTTAGTACTTCTGGAACTAATTTAGGCTCCCGATAAAGTCACAAAAACGTAGAATTCTTCGTGGTTGTCGCAGTCCCTTGAATAAGGAGGGGATGTGAGTTCGGAGGATAATTTGGGCACTTACAATCTATCCATTATCTGTTCATCATTTAAATCCTAGTCATGTGCGGAGGCGATTATACCGGCCTATCTCCCCATTGTGGAGCGACGTAAAGACACGCCGTACGGAGATCTTGAACGGTGAGTATCTTCGGATTTATTTTAAACATGGTCTGACCCATTACCTTTGCCCTTACATCCAATTATGAAGGTTATCACGAATGACAACTGATTGAAAATGCATGCATGTTCACTTTGGGTAGGCGCTTCCTGTAGCCGAATCATTTATCGGGCATTCATAGGAGTTAGGAACTTCATATGGACCACATCAGGCCTGCACATTCGCTCGCGGCCTCTGTGGAAACCGAACGAGGTCCTCGTGACCTTTCGCCCTCTAACGGATCAGTCAACCGCTTATCTCTGGCAAAGTGAGAATGCGCGAAGCGCCCTGCACGTATCTGTCTTTGACTAATGTAGACTGAGGTTTTTCAGTAGCCTTGTAATGCTCTCAGCTCAGGTAATGTCCTAGACTATTGAAGAAATCCAGTCATTCTTGCTATCAATCCGACGCTTACTCGCAAGTGCTGTTCAATTCGAGTCATGATGTGGTTTTATTCTCATTTTCTTCAGTCTGAAACGATCTTCTAAGCCATTGACTGCAAGGCCTCTATAGTGGCTTTCTCTTGGCCACTTATTTGCTTTCCATTCAGTCAGCCGGCTGGTATGCTTTGTCGGGAACAGCCTTGTGACTTACTAGGATATACACTTGATTCCATTTGCATGTAACGTTGCGTCCGAACTGCCGCTAGTAACGCCAAATTGAGATAGTTTCTCCTACACAGACTTCACTAATGGGCTTGAAACCATACTGCTATGTAGTGTGGCTGTGTGAACACTACATGAGGAGTCATGATATACTCCTAAATGTATTGTTGTTCGAAATCAGCCTTCATCGAATGCCGTGAAGTCTAACCGGTGAAGAAGTAACTGGGGTAGCTTGTGAGTTCCAGGTAGAATGCCAAGTAGTTTATTGGTGATTTATTATTTTGCCTGTAAAGTATTGGTCGGCTTTACTTATCTGAAAGTAAATTGTTCGAAAATTCCCGGGAACTATATCTTGTTCACCTGGTTACCGCTGAAGCTTAGTCGACTGGACACGATACAAAAGGAGTAGATAGAAAACCGACATGTAGCACTTGAGTTCAGTAGGTCTGAACGCTTTCCTTTGGTCCAAGCCAGTCAACTTCGCTTTTGGGTCGGAGATGCAGTGATCTCCATCCCCTGGATGATCCTCCAATCTTTCCTTCTTGAAGGTCTTTCTTTGTGGAACGATGATCAGCCAGAACGGTTGCATGCTTTCTATACCAGAGTACTGCATTTCAAAATGCATTTTCAAAATATTATAAGATAATGGAATGGAGTGTTTCATTTCCTCCAGAAAGAATACTTCCGATATTCGATCTTCGAGTTTCACGCTCACCAGTTCAGTATGGTGAACGTGGATGAAAGAGTATCAATCTCTGTCCTCTAGGTAAACAGGAACTAGGGGTTTTTCCAGTGGGAAAAACAGCGAAGACACGAGAGCAAGGCTTACCATGGGAAGTTCGAGTTTTATCCAGTTTTAATGTACGGCTTCATCCCGTCTTCCAGCTATATTAATTTCACTGACATCGCAGTTATGAACTGGTCGAACGATTGGCGCTGCAGCGCATTCAGTGCTTAATTATCGGCTAACCTCGTACAAAATGATCACAACATAGCGGATTAGTGTATAAACCGTGCTTATAGCGAAAGCTCTGGAGTGATAGGACATTTCTGTAGTAGTGGCTCTTTCTGGAGAACCCGAAAATCATCTATATTGTGGGGAATTTGTTATTTAGACGGAGGAAGGTTGCAACGTAACGTAGCGTGTCTCCAAATTTGTCTCGTTAAAACTTCTCTCTGGATGAGCACCTGCGTCTTGTGAGTAAGTGCTTTTTAACTACAGACCCCCCCACCAAAAGAAACCAGCAAATGACTTCGTATGTGTCATTTATGTTTTTGATCCCCGTCACCTTCATTGCAGTGAATGGCAATTGGTACGGCGAGGTCGCTACGTCGAGTTCAACCTAATCTACGATCGTGGTACAAAATTCGGTTTGGCAACTCCAGAAGCTCGGGTCGAAAGCATCCTGATGTCATTACCTTTACACGCAGTACGTTTTCCTGTTCGTTTACGGGAGACATAATTCTAACCTTTAAACGTTGATTTCTTCCGTCGCACTACTCTCAGAGCTAATGCAACTCCCAAGATTTGTATAGTGTTCCACAAATTCAAGCTTCTCCTTATTGTTTGGTGGCATATTCTTTAATATGCACTTTCTTTAATATGACTTCACACTTTGTGAGCGCAAAGCACACGCTGAAGGACTGGATGACCCTGGTAAGCTCTTCTAGTGATGCCCGCACTCTCTACTGCTTTGAAAAATGAGAAGAGTGTCGTCTACATATTTCAGCGATGAATTAAGCAAAAATGCAGGAAGCAGACACACCTATTAAACAACCCTACTTGTAGAAAGCTTTTGGAGAGCTTTCATGCTCTTACGAGCAACGGTCCCCAGGGCTCTCTTGATGGGACTATTTACCAACTTCGGTAATTGATTCTCAGTTGTCAAACCACTTTTCTAAAGATGTTGTTGGTTGTACTAAGGAGTCCTCATACACCCAGGATACGGTTCTTAAAAGCTATTCTGAAGTTGTAGAACTTGACGATGACACACCTGCGTCGACGCATTTATTGGATCTATGTAAAAGGTTCCAGATACTTTCCTTCAAATATCTCCAAACCTTGACATATCTTCATTCTTAGCTGGTATAAGTCAAGACAGTTGAGTTAGACCCAAAATTTACAGACTTCGTCAAACTACACGTCTGGCGGCACCATCAACATTTTTGATTTGTGTTCCGAAGGTTTGATTTCCTAATGAGCAAGTTCTGGTAAGTTTCATCATGATAACGGGGTCTGTGAACTGTAAAAGTGGTCTCTGTAGGAAATATCTATGGGGGTAATGAAGGGGATCCATAATATTAGTGCATGGCTTGAAGGTATCATCGGATTTACGCACAGTATAACTCGCTTTTAGAAAGTTCTTGGGGATGTTCTCCCAAGAAAGATCGACCCCCTGACTAAGGACGATTGAGTTGTTACCATGGGCTATTGAATTCACCAGCTTACACGACAATTTTCATTGCTATTAGACGATCGATATTTGAGTGGAATAACATACTCATGTAGTTAGCTTTCGTTCCACTTTCCATTTTTTTCTCGATCAGCAATGGGTTTACTGCTATGAAGACTCTAAGGATCCTCGGAATCAAAGTCTGATTGAAGTGCTGAAGAATCCCCGTGAATGGTTATGACCATGAGTATACTGTGCTCTTCGTTGCAGCCTCACTATCTCTCTTTGCTAGTGTTGTTTTTTGACCCGCTTCTAGATAGTGCTTTCTCTAGCCATGCCGCTTCGAAAAACGTAGTCTTCTACTTCTGTTTGATGCCAAATCAGTTCCTGCACTGTACAATATTTCATCAGATCTTGTTCACAAATGATCTACTCGGCTTACGGTTCTCTAAGTTGCTGAAAGCGGTCCTCCGGATGTCTCTCTGCGGGTACTCAACGCGGTTCCATAGGTGGATAAATTGATGGAAAACCAGTACTATTTTGAATACTGCTATTCAGGTGTCCTAACTTATCGCGCCCAATGATCCAACCTAGTTGTCCACATCAATGTAGATAAGTATTCTTCAGGGAGGTTCTTTACTCGCGAACGTCTCCTCTCAATAATTCAAGTAGCTTGGAGCCATGTTCGATGACTTTCTATTGTTCCGAACTTAGAATTTGTGACAGGTCAGTAAACCGAACTCAAATAACAGGCCCTCACAGTCAGGACTTCTAAGTCTAGAAGGGCTGCGTCTAGTCCTATGTATGTTTAACAGACCCACTTGGAAAGTGCTCCTTTACACACTTATTAGCCTGTGAATTCTGGAGTTTATCCGCAGCAGCCGCTCTTCTTATTCGGAGTGGGTACTGTGTTAACATCCACGGATACAACGTACATATTCCTACTAAGAAAACTGCACTCTGCGTTCGGTCTAGACCCTAATTTTGAGTTTGAGTGGTTCGCCGTCATTGAACAAGTGAATGCGCTTAACGGTGATGAACGGAACTAATCCAAAGATGATCAGTTTTCCAGTAACTGCTTTTGTATTAGTACGTACAAGTCTTATGCTATTTCATTGTCCCCATTTATCGTTTCAACAAATGCAGATGTGCAAATAAAACTAGTTGGTCCCGTTGCCACAACTGTTTGAACCGAGTAGTTTACTAGCCTATTGCATGTGACCCCATGAACTGATACGGTGACCAATATACAGGATGATTAGCTGCCATACTGAATCCAGTATACTAAAACATTTGTTCCTCAGTCACACACTGTGGTGGTAGACGAGGTGGACCCACCGGGGTGTTTTCACCTGGGAACTGCAGGGGTTGCCTAGGCCATCCTCCCATATTCGGCAGTCCATTCTTGGGACAGACATTTTGTTTCCTGTTCATCAGGGGGATCCCCTACCAAACTGGCAATAACGGCGGTCAGTGTTCTGAGCGACTAAGTGGTCTGCCGAACACTGGTAGACCATTGTAATGCATCGACTGAGCGTCACGATATGTTGAATAGTTTCCAATCCTAAGGTAGGTGTAAACAACAGACCCCGAGATTGGAATGTTCGATATACATATATGATGGAGACGTCTGGGATTGATATGACCTCAATCATTTAACTACTGTCCACCCCGCAAGCTCTGATTTGTACAGTTTTTTTTTTTCAAGGCAAATAGAGCCACCTAATTCCATTTGTACACACTCAACCCAGTTACCGAAGGAAGTGATCTAAAAGAGTGGATGTTGTGAGGTCGACCCCCCTGGATGCGGCTGCTTTCGAGCACCACATTCTGTTTTACAGTGGACTCCCGTAGTTGTGTATCTAAGTTTTTTCGTCAAATCAGGTCAAGATCTTCACAGAATATCTTTGTAATCTAATGAGAACACCACTAAAGAGAGATTCAGCTGGGTTCCAGGTGGGTCTCTCGAAAAAACCAAATCAGTTTGCAACTAGTTCGCCTATCTTCACGGAATGTTTTTGAATCGTACGGACATGTGGTGTCATTACACGCTACTGTTGAACCTTCTCGATAGTTGGCGCTCGCTGCAGTCCTTAAGATATGCCAGTAGTCATCTGTGTTCATCTTCGATACAAGGCTATCTGCCATTCTTGAAGCTTATCAGCAACCGTTTATGCATGACCTTACTTGCACATGCGCTGTATTCGATAGACCACAACCTATCTGAATATATCTAATGAGAAATGTATCAACTAACCAATCATGTGGAGTAAAAATGAGCAACCGTTTTCATTGCTCAACTGCTCCCTCGGGTCCGGAGTTGTTCAGTTTGTTGGATGTTCCAATTATTTTGCGTCCCTCATCCACGTCGCGCTTTGTTGGAAACGAAGATAATTTAGATAGTTGTCATGGAGATTTTAACTTCAACAGAAAAACACTTCGCAGCCGGAAAGGCCTCCGTAGCATGGCGTTACTTTTTACGAAGGATTGATAATACGGCGGCCGCATTGTGCTTACTTGGTTTCAGTTTGATACGGTGTGGTAGCTCATTTCGATCGGGTTTATAGCGGTTGACTCAAGTATATGGTGGGCCCGCTTTGCTAGGCCTCAAGGCTCGGATCTCCTGGCCCAACGAGGCAACAAAAGGAAAAGATAAGTTAACGTTCATACATATGTTCCCATCCCCGTACTATCTTGAAGCCCACTTCCATGTGCACCCAATGACTAACATCCGGTGTGCATTTTTCGACGAATGTTTTGGGGATTCGCATCCTTTGGATGATGTTCTCTTCGTTTGACCCAAAATCCATTTCCCATCAACAAATAGCGTTTAACACTTAGATGAACCGGAGTTGCCTATTTCTATGGCTATCTGGTTGCAGTCGTTTCCTCATTATCCACGGGATCGTAAAGTCGCACGGGTATGGAGAAAAAGACCGAACAACTCAGGTAATTTGCTGTGGTTGCAAGTGATAATTGGAGAGGAGGTCTGTAAATGACTTTGAGAGTCGTCATAATGAATGGCAGTCTTCACGATCAGGCTGCACAGAGAGAACAATTTGTTGAGGGCTACTAGATTCGTGCAATGTAATATCGCATATGTTACAATCAACCATAGCAAGTTTACTGGATAGCAGTGTAGTAGGTAGGGTTAGAGTGCTGCACAGTATAGAAGGAGTGTAGGGGATCAATGCAAGAATTAAGTTGGGACCGTGCATCAGATGGTGGCACCACGTGGTGTTATTGTGTTTTCTGATTGTGGTCACCTCGGAAGCAGATAATACAGACACCCCTTGGCTAAATCGGCCGGCCAGCTGATTTACTATCCTGGGAGAGCAGAAGAAACATCGGGAATAGGTAGTGTACGCTGTTGCAGTCGTACTAATAGAGAATGGCTGGGCTGCTGCACACGAGCCTCGTAAAGAATGGAAATTGGGTAAGAGTGAGCAGACAACTATAAGGGCATCATTAAAGGCAATGAAGTAAGGAAGAGAATGAGGTCGTTTGGGATGAAGTTCTGAGCTAGGGAAAGTAATTGTGGAAAAAGAGGGGGTGGTGAAAACAGCGGAACAGAATGGGGGCTAACTCCCTATGATCCGAACAACAATGTGGGCTGAAAAAAAGAACAGTAGAATCAATGGAGGGAACGTCATATAATCCTAAGATGAGCATTGAAAGCAGTGGAAGGGAGGAGTCAGTGAACTGGCCATACCCACTGAGGGGATAAAAGGATTTGCAAAAGGGTAATCAGGGACCTGAAGTGGTGGACGCGTTGGGATAAGCAGCTGACCATCTGATGGCACCGATTAGCAACTAGTGGGTAGCGAGTTATGTGTTGGCGGAAAAGAATCAAGAATAGCGCCATGGAAAAAGGGTTTCGGAAACCGTGGACGTGCCAGTGACTGGTGATTGGATGACTAATTCACGGACTGGGCACGGAACTAGGACCAAGTGGCGGTAGTTTTAGTGGAATCTTGACAAGCTGACGCGCTTCATTGTGCGCTCACGACGTGAGGGGAGGCTGCAAGTTCTCAGAGTCCTCGGATTCCGGAAAGGGGATAGAAGTTAATTATTGATGTCTGAAGACTACCGTGGGCTAATTCCATTTCCAATGGTGAGGGTGACCTAGCCTGTTATTTATGCGTAGAGATAACCAAAGAAGTGGGCGTATAAGAAACTAAGCCAGATAGCAGATTCTGATCCGCGAAAAATCTAATCCAGTGACCACTCGACGCTGGCCGGCTTCCTGGAATTGGTCAACGCACGCACCCAAACTGACCAACGCCAAATGAGATTATAGAGGCCGTCAACACATTGTTCTTTGTTAAGTTATTCCATGTCCTTCTAATAGGGCACTCTACAGAGCACTGGTGATCGGTTATCAATCAAACGACTCCGCCCATTGTTTTTTGTTCTACCAACTGGGTCGTTATACCAAAAGTATAAAATCTATTTTCGAGTTCCAGCCTCGATTCCCGGAGGAAAATATTCTAGTGGAAGTTCCGGAAACTTTAACGGTACTTGAGCTTTGTTTTTTCTGTGATATATATCTCTGTGTTATATTCTACGTGATTTACTACCACCCAGGTAGTCATTTATTGCAGAACAAAGTGGAGAGTGGGAGGATGACAAACCCGGGGTTAAAAATGCGGCAGATGCATGCTCACTAAACCATCAGGCACCAAGGGCAGTTGGCTGATTCTTCACCTGACCCGCTGAGCCTCTTGCAATTCTGTTGCTGATAGTCAAGTAGCGCCGTTTGTTTGGTTGTGTCACCGGATACTCGAAGAGCGCAACCTTATTAGCAGGTTGTGAAGATGCCGATTATGTGGAGGATAACACCAAAGGAGGTCCTCGAGGACTGGCTTGTGCGTTTTCTGCAGCCAGGAAAGTTAACTGAGAGGGTTCTATGGTCTACAACTCAGTCCGCGTCTGCACAGCTGCTTCATCTCTATCAAAAAGGTTGGTCATAAACTTTGTAGCCCTGTGGTCTTAACCATCACACTAGTTTTGTACTCATCTACCTGGTGCACAAACCGTCCCCACCACGGAACACACTAGAACATTCTGAACATTCTGGATTTTCCCGTGCCACATTACTGCCATGGTAAAGACGCAGTGCAAACACGTTCTCCAACCGGCAATATCCTTTTGTCCTTGTTGCTCGACCCTTGGGACAGGAGGTTCGTCCCAGGGAATCACTAAATGCACTGCCCCCATATCCTGCTCATCCTGTCCCGAAATTTTTCTTGAACAGCTGAAAAATCTGTTAGCTGTACGTTACTAAACGTTGGGGTAGATCACAAATATGCTGACTGGATGTTTTACCGCTCACAGGATGCGATGCCATGGGCATGAATATTAAAAAAGTGTTGGGTTTGGGCACGCCTCAAATAGGACCTGCCCAATGCGTTGTAATTAGGTGGTCACGTAATCCC